GGGTGTGACATTGGATCCCTAGAATACAAGCCAGGTGACCTCTTTGCTGAGCCCCCAGCCTTAAAAACCTAGCTTGAAGTCTCAGATCTGCCACTAAGCCTACATGCCATCATTTGATTATAAGTATAAAAGGAGAGTGCATAATCTCAAAATGTTTTCATATCATGTCTAGATTCTATTCCAATGCACCAATCACTAGCAATCAAGAAGTACAAAGAAGCGCATGTTTAGACTTTATGATAACTGACATGAGATTGAGAACTGCAAGGGTTATGACCAACCAACAACCTTGTATAATTATCTGCCACCTCTGTCAGTAAACAGCTGCGTGAGCTTGGACAAGTTGTTTAGCATCTCTAGTCCTCAGTGCTCTCATTTTTGAAGATAAGTATTTAAGAACCAGGCCTCTCAGGTGGCACGGTGGTAAACAATCCACCTGCCAATCCAGTAGACTAAAGAGTTCGGTTCAGTCCAGTTTATTCGCTCAGCTACGTCTGACTCTTTGTGACCCCATAGACTGCAGCACACCAGGCCTCCCTGTCCATCACCAACTTCCAGAATTTACTCAACCTCATGTCCATTGAGTCGATGATGCCATCCAACCATCTCATCTTCTGTTGTCCCCTTCTCCTCCTGCCTTCAATCTCTCCCAGCATTAGGGTCTTTTCAAACAAGTCAGTTCCTTGCATCAGGTGGCCAAAGTACCCACATCAGCATCAGTCCTTCCAATGAACATACAGGACTGATTTCCTTTAGATGGATTGGTTTGGTCTCCTTGCAGTCCAAGGGCCTCTCAAGAGTCTTCTCCAATACCACAGTTCAAAAGCATCAATTCTTCAGTGCTCAGCTTTCTTTATAGACCAACTCTCACATCCATACATGACTACTGGAAAAACCATAGATTTGACTAGACAGACCTTTGTTGGGAAAGTAATGTCTCTGCTTTTTAATATGCTGTCTAGGTTGGTCATAACTTTTCTTCCAAGGAGCAAGTGTCTTTTAATTTCATGGCTGCAATCACAATCTGCAGTGATTTTGGAGCCCAAAAAGATAAAGTCTGTCACTGTTTCCATTGTTTCCCCATCTAGTTGCCATAAAGTGATGGGACCAGATGTCATGATCCTAGTTTTCTGAATGTTGAGCTTCAAGCCAACTTTTTCACTCTCCTCTTTCATTTTCATCAAGTGGCTCTTTAGTTCTTCTTTACTTTCTGCCATAAGGGTGGTGTCATCTGCATATCTGAGGTTATTCTCAGATATTTCTCCCTGGCAAACTTGATTCCAGCATGTGCTTCATCCAGCCCACCAATTCTCATGATGTACTCTGCATAAGTTAAGTAAGTACGGTGACAATATACAGCTTTGACGTACTCTTTTCCCGATTTTGAACCAGTCTGTTGTTCTATGTCCAGTTCTAACTGTTGCTTCCTGACCTGCATACAGATTTCTCAAGAGGCAGGTCAGGTGGTCTGGTATTCCCATTTCTTTAAGAATTTTCCACAGTTTGTTGTGATCTACACAGTTGCTTTAGCATAGTCAATAAAGCAGAAGTGGATGTTTTCTGGAATTCTCTTGCTTTTCTGATGATCCAGTGGATGTTGGCAATTTGATCTCTAGTTCCTCCCCTTTTTCTAAATCCAGCTTGAATATCTGGAAGGTCACAGTTCACATACTGTTGAAGCCTTGCTTGGAGAATTTTGAGCATTACTTTGCTAGCGTGTGAGATGAGTGCAATTGTGCAGTAGTTTGAACATTCTTTGGCATTGCCTTTCTTTGGGATTGGAATGAAAACTGACCTTTTCCAGTCCTATGGCCACTGCTGAGTTTTTCAAATTTGCTGGCATATTGAGTGCAACACTTTCACAGCATCATCCTTGAGGATTTGAAATAGCTCAACTGGAATTCCATCACCTCCACTAGCTTTGTTCATAGGGATGCTTCCTAAAGCCCACTTGACTTCACATTCCAGGATGTCTGGCTCTAGATGAGTGATCACACCATCATGATTAACTGGGTCATGAAGATCTTTTTTGTATAGTTCTTCTGTGTATTCTGGCCACCCCTTCTTAGTATCTTCTGCTTCTGTTAGGTCCATACCATTTCTATCCTTTATTGTACCCATCTTTGCATGAAATTTTCCCTTGGTATCTCTAATTTTCTTGAAGAGAGCTCTAGTCTTTCCCTTCTCTTATTTTCTTCTGTTTCTTTGCATTGATCACTGAGGAAGGCTTACTTATCTCTCCTTGCTGTTCTTTGAAATTCTGCATTCAAATGAGTATATCTTTCCTTTTCTCTTTTGCCTTTTGCTTCTCTTATTTTCACAGCTATTTGTAAGGCCTCCTCAGACAACCATTTTGCCTTTTTACATTTCTTTTTCTTGGAGATGGTCATGATCACTACCGCTTATACAATGTCACAAACCTCCATCCATAATTCTTCAGGCACTCTATCAGATCTAATCCCTTGAATCTATTTCTCACTTCTACCATATAATCATAAGGGATTTGATTTAGGTCCTACCTGAATGTTCTAGTGGTTTTCCCTTCTTTCTTCAATTTACGTCTGAATTTGGCAATAAACAGTTCATGATCTGAGCCACAGTCAGCCCCTGGTCTTGTTTTTACTGACTGTATAGAGCTTATCCATCTTTAGCTGCAAAGAATGTAATCAATCTGATTTTGGTATTGACCATCTGGTGATGTCCATGTGTAAAATCATCTGGAATGGACTGGAATCGTCTGGAGTCGTCTGGGGACTGGAATGCAAAAGTAGGAAGTCAAGAATTGCCGAGGCCATCCCTGAGCTGAAAGCCTCCATCAAGAAAGGAGAGGAGTTTTTCAAGAACATGAAATGAGAAGGCGCTTAGTGAGCAGTCGGTCTCCTTAACTTATTAAGGCATCACGTCACTGTAAAGCCATTGCAGATACTTTTGTTGTTTCAATTTGCTTGGTTGAGGAAGATTGTGTTAACGAACCACCCCTTCCCAATCTCGGTCAGTCTATAGGTGCATCAATAAAAGCAGGCTTTGATTTTCAAAAAAAAAAAAAGAATTACCTGGAGTAACAGGCAAGTTTAGCCTCTGAGTACAGAATGAAGCACAGCAAAGGCTAATAGAGTTTTACCAAGAGAACACACAGGTCATAGCAAACACCGTCTTCCAACAACACAAGAGACGACTCTACACATGGACATCACCAGATGGTCAATACTGAAATCAGACTAAAGAGATACATGTTCAATTCCTGGGTTGGAAAGACCCCCTGGAGAAGGAAATGGCAACCCACTCCAGTAATCTTACCTGGAAAGTTCCATGAACAGAGGAGCCTGGCAGGCTACAATCCATGGGGACAAAGAGTTAGACACAGCTAAGCGACTGAGCACATTTAAGAACCATAACCTCAAAGGTTCCATAGTCTGGGATCCAAGTCATAGTCAGGCTGCACTGCAATCTTAATGGATCCTACATGGAAATCCTTCAGTCTGAGCCTTGGCTGAAGCCCCAAGACAGGGAATGCCGAGTCATCCCAACACACACAGTGAATTAGAAGACTCTTGACTAACTCCCCAAGTCTGGCCTCTCCCTACAGTTGGATAATGGATGAGAGGAAAAGCTGGACCAGTTTTTCATTCTTATAAATAATGTTGCAGTGAAAACTCTTGTAAATCTTTCATAATTTACATATGTAAATGTTTCCTTAGGGTAAACACTGAGAGACTGGATTGCTGAATTAAAAGTGTCCCCATATTTTCAGTGTAAGTAGAAGCTTGTGAAATTGCTCTTCAAAATTCAATTTCTTCACCCACCAACAATAAATGAGAGGATTGCTTTCCTGTGTCATTTCTAATATTTAGTAATACCAATATTTTAGATTTTTCCAATATGTTTCTTAAATGTTATCCAATTTTTGTTCTAATTTGCATGTTCTTAATGACCAGTGGACTTCCCAGGTGGTGCAATGGTGAAGAATCCACCTGCCAATGCAGGAAATGCAAGAGATGCAGTTTCGATTCCTGGGTCAAGAAGATCCCCTGGGAAAGGAAACAGCAATCTGCTCCAATATTCTTGCCTGGAAAATTCCATAGGCAAAAGAATCCTGGCAGGTTATAGTCCATGGGGTGACAAAGAGACAGACATGACTGAGTGACTGAGCAGACACACAGCATGACTAGTGACCTTGAGTATCATTCATGTTTGGTGCCTAGCAGAGTCACTATATGAAATACACACTAGTAAGTATTTTTGTAAGATTTTCCAAATACAATAGCAAAATTTACGTCCTGACGTGCCAGGACGTATACTAGGTACTTTATACACATTTCTTCATTAATTCCCTCAGTTCTCTAAAATAATTATTTTCCTTCCCATTTGATAAAAAAAAGAAATGGAAGCCTTGTAAGATTAAGTACATTCCTCAAAGTCACAAGGATAATAAGACAATACAAATTCTAACCCAGGCCTGACTCCAGAAATTGTATCCCCTTCTACCTGGTCACCCCCCAAATCTTGGGTGAGCACCTACTCTGGACAAGAGCTGCAGGGGGCCTAAGGTTACTAATGCTGTGTCTGGTCCAGGAATAACAGAGGATTGGACGTACTTTGATAGAACTATAGAGAATCAGCAAACAGTGAGCTTTACAACTTGGAGCTCACCAAAGTCTTTCTCCCCACTGTACATTCGGTACTCGTTGCAGATGTTTAGGAAGAGAGGGCAGGGCCTATTTGAACACTGTCCACCCATATCTTACAGAAGTCGAGTTTCAGAGAGGTTGTAAGTTCCCTAAGAGCTCCAGCTTACAAGAGGAGGGCCTAAGGTAGCAAAGACACCTGGAGCATCTGAGAGGGGGTTCCTGGAGGCTGAGCAAATGAGGAAGGCCTGGAAGAGGAGAGCTTCACAGGGGCCTAGAACATGGGGCGGTTTCTGGGGTGGGAGGGAACACAAAGAATCGATTTGATCCTCCAAGTGTCAACTCCAAAGGGACAGAAGTATCGGTGTTTTTCTGGAGCTCAGGTTGACATGTGTGTTTTGCTCTCCTTGGGGTGAGAGTTGTTGTCGCTCTCCTTCCTCCATCATTAAAGTCTCTGGACTCCTAACTAATTAAAAGCTTGCTCTCAGGACGCTTCATCTGAAGTCCATTTGTAGACACTGGATGGACCTAGACAGCGTCAAAACGGAGTGAAGTAAGTCAGACAGAAAAATGAGTATCGTATATTAGCGCATATGTGTGGAATCTAGAAAAATGGTACAAATAAACGTATCTGCAAAGCAGAAATAGAGACACAGACACGGAGAACAAGCGTATGATCACCAAGGAGGGAAGAAGAGGGGTAAGATGAACCGGGAGATTGGGATTAACATATACACATGTTAACACTATGTATAAAATAGAGAACTAACGAGAACCTACTCTAATAGCTCAGGGAACCCTGCTCTATGTTCCGTGGTGACCTCAACGGAAAGGAAATCCAAAAGCGAGGAGATAAATGGATATGTAAAGTTGATTCACTTTGCTCTCCAGTAGAAACATGCTGTAAAGCCAACTATCCTCCAATAAAAGTTAATTTTTAAAAAAAATTTTTAATTAAAAAAATGAAAAGGCTGGCCTTTGGGCTCCAGGAGAGAGCAGGAAACCTGAAGTGTGCTGCATGGCCTCTGGTCCCACACAGCTTTGCGTTTCCTCCTGTGATGGGACCAGTTGGAGTCTAATGGTCTGCTCCACACTGGCCAGTTCTCCCACATCTAACTTGTCTGGGCTTGCTGCTTGTATAGTGTGTGTTAGTCGCTCAGTCGTGTCTGACTCTTTGTAACCCCATGGACTGAAGCCCACCAGGCTCCTAGGTCCATGGTATTCACCAGGCAAGAATACTGAAGGGGGTAGCCATTCCCTTCTGCAAGGGATCTTCCTGACCCAGCGATCAAACCTGGGTCTCCTGCATTGCAGGCAGACTCATGAACTTCTGAGCCACCAGAGAAGCCCAACTTCTTTGGGAGTAGAGATCAAATCTTACTCTTCTCCTTGTCTCCCTGTCCCATCCTGCCCTGTCTCCACCTACAAGGCTTCACACGACTGCTACCAACAAGTCACAGCACTTCACAGTTTACAAAATCACTCTGTTGCCAGGAGTTGGTGTTCTTTATCTGAAACCTGGGCCTTTTACAATGTGAGGGGGGTCCTCTATTCAAAAAATAATACAAAATATTAAGTCAAAATGAACTGAAAATGAATAATGAAAGTTATATGAAATAAAGTTGTTATATTAAATGAAATAGATGATTCCAAGCTGCAAATTGTAGAAAATGGACAAATATAAATATCAGAAAACCTAGAAAATAATGTAGTTTTCTTATCTCTAAGCATCAGCCTGATACACTTCTACAATCTTTTGTTCTACATTTTGTGGCTTTGATCATCCTTTCATGTGACAGCAACTGGCTGTGCCTAATTATATAAAGACAATGAAAAATTAATTTGATTTTTTTCTCCAGCCTGATTGATTAAAATTTCTTTTTCATTAGTAGTGGCTGGAATGCCCGAAACATGTGATTTATGCACAGAGTTACTGATGGTAATATTGTTTCAGGGTCCTACTTTACAAATACAGGTATTCTGAGAATTTCCATTTCACATGATTCCCATCAAATAACAAAACTATAGTTAATTTATAATTATATATACATAGCTTCCCAGGTAGCACTACTGGTAAAGAAGCTGCCTGCCAATGCAGGACATACAAGAGACACAGGTCCAATACCTGGGTTGGGAAGATCCTCCAGAGGAGGACATGGCAACCCACTCCACTATTCTTGGCTGGAGAATCCCATGGACAGAGGAGCCTAGTGGGCTAAAGTCTACTGGGTCACAAACAGTCTGAAATGACTAAGCGACTACCAGTCTGTAAAATGGAAACATTAATGTCAATCTCAGGAGGTCACGTGGCAGATAAAGCATCAGGTAAGTGCCAAGCACACAGCTGGTGTGCCAGCACTGTGCAGCAGATGCACAACTGAAAAAATTGGTTGAGGATGGAGACAGCTGGAAGGCAGGTCTCAGCTTTCTGTGTGAACCGTCTCTTAGGGGTCTTCAACTCGGAAACATGCTATGATTCAAAATCCCCATAGAAGTAAACCAGGGAAGGATTTAAAGAAATAGCTACATACGATTTTTCACAGGCTAATCTGTGGCTCCATGTGGGTCAAAGAAGATTAAGGGTTCCTTGAAAGTCAAAGGCTGATTACTTCAAAACCCATCCCAGGAGTCAAGCAGGAGGCAGCACGGCTCAATATTTTGTGCACAAGCCAGAACTTTTCAGATAAGCATTTCAGAAGAAGCTAACATAAGGTGAAAGGTTTTTGGAAAGTTGTGACTTTTAAAACAAATCTGCTGCAGAGAGCTGAGCTCGGCTCACAGTCTTCACACCCACTGGCCCCCTTCCTGAGCCTGTGGCCAGGTCCCAGCCCTGGTTCCGGGGGCCCTCTTCACTGCTTGAAAACAATTACCCCTGTAGCCTCCGAGGGCTGGGGGAACTCAGAAAGGGTTGTCCAGGAAGCCGATCCCCTCCAGATGTCTTAACTTCCCTTCCCAGCCCCTCCTCCAAGCTCTGCTAAAGATGAGGAGACCAGGAGGTGTCTGTACTTAATGGGGAACAAATTAAGTGACAGCTTAAATCTTGTAACAGGTTAGGCAGGGGGGTGAGGTGAGTGCTGCCTCTTCAAGAAGGTGATCCATCTCCTCTGTCCCTGGGGAGAAGGGCAGATTGGCAGAGAGAGATGATGAGCGTGGAATCAGGAGAGAAGGAACCAGCCAGACGCACATCACTCAGTGCTGTCCTGCTGGCTGACCAAGCACATGGCTTCGAAAGGTGCTTTCCTAGAGCTTGAAGTACCTGCCAGAAGCAGGATTCCAACAATGAGGTATGGATCGTCTGGGAGTGCTTTCCCCCACTGGACAGTCTTTACTCCTTGCAGCATTTCCCATGTGCCTACTGCATGCTTGAGCTCCCCTGGTGGCTTACCGGGAAAGAATCCTCCTACCAATGCAGGAGATGCAGGGTCAATCCCTGGGTCAGGAAGATCCCCTGGAGAAGGAAATGGCAACCCACTCCAGTGTTCTTGTCTGGGAAATCCCATGGATGGAGGAGTTTGGTGGGCTACAGTCCATGGGGTTCCAAAAGAGTCAGACATGACTTGGGAGACTTAACCAACAACAGCCATATGCTTTCTGTGTGTCAGATATGTTCTTTATCTCATTTAACACTCACTGCACCCCCCCCCCCCCCCCCAATAAAATAAGTGTTATTACAGGGAAGAAACTGAGGCTCAAAGAGGTTATGGTGGTTCGCCCAGGGTCACACGGAGCCCAAATCACAGCTGGGTAAGAATCTGTGATAAAGCCAATCTTTGCTGAGTCTTGAGCATATGCATACAGACTTGCTCAGGATGACCTTGAACCCTCAGAGGGTAAAAGAGCCAGCAGTCAGGGCTCTGGAGAAGGAATCAAAGCAAAGGCTTCCGGGAAAACTGATCAGGGCCAGCAGGCTGATGAACTTGTGCTGTCCAGAATCAGCAAACAGATGTAGAGCTCAGCAAGAGGTGTGGAGTTCACAACAGCCACTTCTGAACTGACTCACTGAGAGTTTCTTTAAGCCCACCACCCAGGGCACTTCCCTGGTGGTTCAGTGGTAAAGAATCCACCTCCCAGTGCAGGAGATACAGGTTCGATCCCTGGTCAGGGAACCAAGATCCCACATGGCTTGGGACAACGAAGATCCTGCAAGCCACAGCTAAGCATTGGTGCAGCCAAATGAATAAACACTTTAAAAAATAAAACTAAACCCACCACCAAGGTTCCTTGTCAACCTTGAGTCTTTGTCTTTATGAGCCCCAGCCTTTGGTCTGGGAGCCTCTTCACAAGGGCTGCTCCCCAGAGACACCCCTCTCTCTAAGAAACCCCAAGCTTACTGCAGCATTCTCCAATGGCCTCCATCCCTGGCTGACTAGTTTCTCCCTGCCCTGCCTGGAGGTAAATTCAGTTTAATTCTCACAGGTTTCAAAGTTTTTGGTTTGTTTTCTTTTTTTTAATTGGTTTGTTTTCCTTGAACTACTGCTTCCCTCATAGCTCAGTTGGTAAAGAATCTGCCTGCAATGCAGGAGACCTAGGTTCAATCCCTGGGTCAGGACGATCCCCTGGAGAAGGAAATTGCAACCCACTCCAGTATTCTTGCCTGGAGACTTCCATGGGCAGAGGAGCCTGGCAGGCTACAGTCCATAGGATCACAAAAGTCAGACACAACTTAGCGACTAAACCATCAACCACCACCACTGCCTAATTAAACTTTCCTCTCCAGGCTTAATCCCCTTCAATCTAACCTACACATCACTGATGGATGAAATTCATCAAAGTTTAACTTTGATCATGTCAGTCCCTACCCTGAATCCTGCCATAGGGGTTCCCCTTTGAATAAAGTCAAATCTCTTATTCCAATATTTCCATCACTCTGTGGGGCTTCCCCGGTGGCTCGGTAGTAAAGAATCCGCCTGCAGTGCAGGAGATGTGGGAGAAGTGAATCCGATCCTTGGGCCTGGAAGCTCCCCTGGAGAAGGAAATGGCAACCCACTCCAGTATTCTTGCCTGGGAAATCTTATGGACAGAGGAGCCTGGTGGGCTACAGTTCATGGGGTTGCAAAGAGTCGGACACGACTGAGCAAGCACGCACACACACACATCACTCTCTACTCAAGCCAAACGGAGACACCTCGGTCTTCCTGATCAGAACGTGTCTCGGTGCTGTTGGGAACACCGGTCCACACCTCACCCTCACAGCCTCAGACCTGGATGAGAATAGACAGGCTTTTCTGGAGGAAAGTTTCCACTATGAGTCCCATGATGGCAGGTTCAAGGACCTTCTCGGGAATCAAAGAACAAGGCAGCTATCCATGCAGAAACCCAGGTTTACCTCTGGGAAATCAGGACACACTGGTCAGGGCAAACAACTGTGCATATTCTGAGTCCAGGAGCATTTTTGCTCTCTGACCTCTGTTCCCTACATCTGCACCTTCTTCCATACAAACCCTGACAACAAAAGTGGCTCAACTCTAGGGGTGAGAGCCAGTAGGCTGATGTGGCAGAATCCCACTGGTAAGACAGTGGGATTGAAAGGGGAATAAAGCCCTCTGGGGTGGACAGAGGAGAGGTGAGACTGGGGTGGAAAATGTGCCTGGTGGCTTGGACAGGGTAGGGGCATCCAGGTCGGGTCACCAGCTCAGGACAATAGCAGGAAGTTATCTTTGACTGAACATCAGACAAAGAAACAAATGAACCCTGAACAAATGAAGAAATGTCTGGCACCCAGAAGCCGCCCCACGGTTGTTCGTATAAATAAATAAACGAGTGCGGCACATCTGGGCCTGGCACCATCTGCACAGTGAGAAGTCTTGGCTGTGCTCCTTCCAAGGGCTCTGCCAGCACCGATGTTCTATTTTTTCCCTTTATTTTTTTTTTCCCCTCTTGGATATGAAATGGAAATAAGGCCTGGGAAGGTGGGTCCCTTTTCACAGTTGAGGGCACAGATTCCAAAGTCAGCTTCGCAAGAGACTTTCTTTTAGCGAGTGAAAATGAAGCGAGAAATGAAGGTGATCGGTGTTTGTGCATCACGTGTTGCTCTATTTGCTTTAAACACAGACAATATTTAGTAGCACGTGCAGCTTCTATATCCTCCTGATATTTCTGGAGCTGAGAATCGCTGGCAGCCTAACGTAGAAACTTGGTCCAAATTGGTTTCTCGTGTAAGATAAGCAATAAAAAGCAGGCTGGGTTGGGGGGGGGGGGGCACACCTGAAGGCCAGTGGCCCTTCTCCCCAGTCCTGATCCATCTATAAATGTATAATTGCCATCCTGGATGCCAGAAAAGGCAAAGGGGTGTCAAGAATAGTTTGAACCAAAGAAGTGACAGTGTTACATGCTGGCTGGAGCCAAATCAAGCAGCAATAATGACCGTAGTTCGGTTGGGTTTCTACTTATTACTATACAGGCTGTTAATTGGAATCAAAGAAGGAAAATTGCTGGAAGAGGGAAGTAGAGAGATGTGATTACTCTAGGAAATGGGGGAAGAAGTGAAATGAACAACAATCAGGCTAAAATTACTACCAGGAAAGAACGGAAAAGAAATGCAAATGTTTTAGGCAGGGATTCACAGGAAGCCTATTGGCACCTTCTCCTTTGGATTTCTTCTAAGGGTTTGGCCCAGAATGAAACCAATTAAATGACGCTAGCAAAGGCCTTGCATGTTTCCTACAAGAGAGGAGCTTGGCAGGGCTTCAAAGTTGACTATACCCCCTACCCTACAAGAAATCATTCCAAGACAAGTGCATAAAGCCAGACGCCCACAAGAGCCGCAGTCTCCTGCCCAATCACTGTCAAATCCATAAATGGAAGAGATTCTGGAATTTCCCCAAGTCAATTAATAATTAAATTTGTCAGAACCAATAACCCATGACTTAAACCAGAAGCCAGCATTTTCAGTAAAGGGCCAAATAATAAATATTTTAAGGCCATGCAATTTTTGTCTCCACCACTCAGCTCTGCCATCCTACTGTTGAAAGTAGCCAAGACAATACATCAGTGAATTTGTGCAGCTGTGTTCCAATAAAACTTTATTTACACAAACAGGCAGCAAGCCATATTTGGTCCACAGCCTATCGTTTACCACCACCCTGAATTCAGTGACCATAACAAATCCTATGTGACAGCACTGGCCATTTAGATGGCACCCTGGTTTGCTTCTTCACTGGCTGGAATCTGTGAGGAGGCAGAGTAGGGATGGCTAGACTCATTCGACAGACAAGGGGTTGGGGGTTCACAGAAAACAGGCACAGTGTACAAGGTCACATAGTTGATAGGTGGCAAACCTGAGATGTTACCTCCCTATATGCCTTGGGCCCCTAAAATCTGGTCTAGCTACAAACCAGCTTCTGCCTTCCAAGCACCTCTGGCTGAGCAGTGCATCTGCACAAGCGCTGCATCTATCCTGGCCTGCTCTTTCTCATGAAACCTCATCTCTTTCCATCCATCACTGCCCCAGTGAGCTCTAACAGCATCAGATGTCAGCAGGACACATTCCTGCTAAAGCCCTTCCATATCTCCCCATGACCCACAGGCTAAGTAAGACCTCCATGGCTCGGGCCACAGGAGCCCTCCTGGCCCTGGCCTCTGCCCGTCTCTCCATCCTCACTCCTCACAGTGTCACTCAGTCATGTCTGGCTCTTTGCAACCCCATGGACTGTTAGCCCACCAGGCTCCTCTGTCCATGAAATTTTCCAGGTAAGAATACTGGAGCAGGTTGCCATTTCTTCCTCCCAGGGCATCTTCCCAATTCAGTGACTGGACTGGCTTCTCTTATGTCTCTTGCATTAGCAGGCAGATTTTTTATCACTAGCGCCACCTGGGAAGCTGTCACCTGTCCCTGAGATCTCCTAAACCTCAGCAATTTCAAACAGCATGCTGCTACTGCTAAGTCGCTTCAGTCGTGTCCGACTCTGTGCGACCCCATAGATGGCAGCCCACCAGGCTCCCCCATCCCTGGGGTTCTCCAGGCAAGAGCAGTGGAGTGGGTTGCCATTTCCTTCTCCAATGTGTGAAAGTGAAAAGTGAAAGTGAAGTCGCTCAGCAGTGTCCAACTCCCAGCGACCCCGTGGACTGCAGCCCACCAGGCTCCTCCGTCCATGGGATTTTCCAGGCAAGAGTACTGCAGTGGGGTGCCATTGCCTTCTCCACAAAAGCATGATGTAACCTCAAGTCGTCACCCTGTGGTAGGCCTCTGTGTTTTGTACATAACCGATTCTGAAGCATGAAAGCCCACCCTCCTCCTTCTATCCCTTATCCTGGGGTATCTTTGCTAAGGAGACCATGGTGGTATACAGGACTTAAAAATTCCCCAAGAGTTAGAAAACCTAGGTTTTGAGTCCAGTTCTGCTGGGTAGACTTCTGGTTCTCTACCGGCCAGCCAGGCCTTTGGCACTCAGCTCAGGTTCTCCCCACCAAGAGGATGCCCTTGAGTCCACCCCACACTGGGCTGCCAGGGCTCTGTTCACACCTCTGTGATGATAAAAAGCTCCCCCAGTGTAAAGGCTCCCTCTGCCCACAGCCTGAGAACATGATGCACCTGGGCAGAGATCCTCTTGTTAACCCTTCTATTCCCACACACCTCTGAGTGCCTGGTATGGAGTAGATGAACAGTAAAAGGTGATTGGCCAGGTGGATAAATGAGAGAATCAGTGAACAAAGTTCATGGATGAGGAAACTGAGCAATTCTCGCTCAGACTTTCTCTTAAAGTGTTAGGATGAACAAAGAGGGAAAAAATTTAACTTTCCTTTGCTACTACACAAAATTAAGACAGCTCCTAGTTGGGTTTCTGGTTATTTAGACTCTGGATGACAAAATTAGCATTCTGTGAGGCTACCGTAATATGCTGATACTGCAGGATTCGCAGGTAAGAGGGGGGAGAAAAAGGTCTTTGCATGGTTGAGTTCCCCACATCACTGAAGCATCGGTGACAGCTGACTTGATAATAAACTCCAAGCTCAGAACCCCCACAGTCCAATTATTTCAGCTATCTTCAAGCCAATTGATGTTACACATACAGAAGAATGAACAGCAAAACTGTATTAATGAGGTTTTCTACAAAACAGAGAAATAAATGCAATCTGCAGCAAAACATACTAACAAGGGGCTCAGTGGAGTATGGAATTAAGATTTCACCAAATAACTAAAAAGACAGAGTTTATACTTAGGGCAGCCAGGGAGATTGTGGAGAAAAAGTTACCCTCTGAGTTGAAAGGGCTTCCCAGGTGGTGCTAGTGGTAAAGAACCCCCTTGCCAATGCAGGAGACACAAAAGACTTGGGTCCCATCCCTGGGTGGGGAAGATTCCTTGGAGGAGGGCATGGCAACCCACTCCAGTATTCTTGCCTGGAGAATCCCATGGACAGAGGAGCCTAGAGGGCTTCAGCCCATAGGGTCACAAAGACTCAGAGACAACTGAAGTGACCTAGCATGGATGACTTAGAACCCCAGATCTTATGTATTGACTTAGATAATACACTTAGATAATTCACATAATTTCTGTGAATTCAGAAATTCACATTACTTACCTAAAATTCAATTTCTTCATCCGAACAATGAGGTTGATGATATAGGCCTGCCTCCCTCACAGGGTTGTTGTGAGATTTTAATGAGATGACCTCATTTTTCAAAACTGTAAATAACTATAAAGAAGTACAAGGTTATTCTATCATCCAGGCTTCTATTTAATCCAGCAATTATTTTCACCAAAGGACAGCAGGATGCTTCCCATAAGAGATAAATGTGACCCATGTTTTGCTTTCAACATTTACCCTTCTATTGGAAAGAAAACAAAAATACACTGGCTAGCACCAAAACATAATTGGGGAAAAGCTATCGCACAACAATGAAATGTCACATGCTAATAGGAGCTCCCCTAGAGATGATGTATCGAGATCAGATTTCAAAGGAAAGAGCCCTTTCTGCCCAATTAGCAAAGATGGATCAATTTCTAAACGTGATCTTCTCCCCGAATAAATATCAAAATTTCAATCAGGTATTTTCCAACTTACCTGGGGCATTCCAATTAGATGAATCAATCCAGGGGACATTAATTGACACCAGCATTGGACCAGGCCCTGCACTGGGAGCTGAAAATACAACAGGACCAGATCATGAGTTCACAGTCTAAGGGGAAACAGAGGGGTAAATAAAGGATTCTAGAACAGCACAGGAGGAAGGAACGGTGAAGGTGGAACAGAATGCTGAGGAGGCATCGAGAAGGGGACCATTCTCTGCATATTTGCAGGCATTTCCCCACTCTTCTGTAACATGAGTGGGAAGCGGCCTGGATTGCAATTCACTTTGTCATCTGAGAGCATGGAAAAGTGCTTCTCATGCCCCCACTCAAAAATGCCTTTTCCAGCATCTGACAACAGCCAGAAACCCACATGTAGTGGGTTTCAGATAAAGATATTCCTGTTTCTAGTTTTTTCTTCCAAATCCCTGCTACTCTGGGCTAGGAAAGAGAGAAGAAAAGTTTCAAAATCATTTCACACAAATTCTCTCAGTTAATCCTCATCACATGATGATGGTTTGGGTTCTATTAATCCACTTACAAAGGAGGGCACAGAAGCTCAGGAAAGTTAAGTGACTTTTCCAGGGTGGCACAGCCAGCAAACCCTGGATCCTCCACTCCAAAACTGAGTCTTCTCAAATGCTACGTTCAAGAATCCAGACCTTTTCAGCATGGCAAGAGCCGTCTAGAGTGGTTTCTAGGATCCCAGCCTCTGTAACCTGGCAACTGAGGCTGAGGTCCCGAGGACATGGAGGTTCTGATGAAGAGGAAGAGAAAGGAGTTCTTGGGGTCTGAGATGACAACATCCTGGGAGAGAGTTAGGGCAGAGTCAGAGAACAGGCATGGACCACTGGAGAGTTCCCAGCAGGGCTTATCACGGCCTCTCAGGGTGACATTCCCAGCACGAAGTGGACAACCACTGAGCAGTAGTGCTTTATTATCACTGCCCTGAAATCGTACCCACTCATCAGAATCTTCAGGGATACCTAGATCTCCCTGTTGTGATTATTCTTACCCACACCACAGTTGTGTCTGCTGAGTCCCCATCTTACAATAAGGAACCTCAGGTCAGAGGAATGGTCTTGGTTGCTAAGCCTGAAAATGACAATTCCAGAGAATTCTCAAAATTTGGGTTTCAGCTTTACCTCCACTTTCCTAAAGGACTTTGTGCATATGTTTAGCCTTACCTATGAAATGAGGATTATCCTCATTAAATTACTTTCAACACGAAGCAGAAAATAATAGATTAATATCATTACTTTAGGGATGAAAGTATATTCATTCATTACAACAAGTTGATGTTAACTTACTAGGTGTCAATAATCACTGTGCAAAGGGTAATGAGACTGCTTGGCGCACCTGATGCTCTAGCCAGAAGGGTTCTTTTGGAAAGATTTAAAAGTTGAACATGAGTAGATAACTGCATGACAGTTACACTTACTACCATCTTGGCCTCTCATATTTGAAACTAATCCTTGAATATAATCCAGCACTTGGATCTAATCCCCTTGATTGCCCTATGAGTGAGATTTTATTAGTCACATTTTATAATGAGCAAATTGAGGTTCAGAGATATTAAGTGGCCTTCCCAGGAAAAGAAAATAATAATGAATGGAAAGGAAGGGCTTTAATCTGCCTTCTGGTTCCAAAATGTGTGCAATACTCCAGAAACACCTCTGGCCTGTTGGCCATATCCTTTATTGATAATATCCACCCTATTGTCCCTAAAAACTAAAAAAAAGTTTTAAAAAACTTTTTGTTTGGAAATAATTTTCTATTTACAGAAGATATGAAATGCAGTCCAGAGTTTCCCCTTTGCCTTTCTACCAGCTTCCTCTAATGTTACAAAACCTTAGTCTATTTATCAAAACTAAGAAATTAAATTAGTATTAAACTACAGATTTTATTAGAATTTTCTCAGTTTTTCCAGGAATGACCTTTTTTTCTGTTCTAGAATCTAGTCTGGGATATGATGTTATATCTGCCAGATGTTGTTGATTAGACTGAAGTTCCAGATTTAGGGGGAGGGGACCATAAGATGTGATGTCATACATCATCATAGTAGGGATACAATGTCAACATGATTTCTGACTACTGACTGTAACTTTAATCACTTGATGAAGGTGCTGTCTGGTTTTCCCATTTATATTCTCTATTTGCTAAAAACAAGTCACTAAGTCCAGCCCACATTCACGGGAAAAGGTATTAAGCTCTTCTTTCTGGAGAGAGAAGCATCACAGAGTTTGTTGTCATATATAAAGAGCCCTATAGTAATTAGTAAGTATGTGGGGAGATATTTTGTGCCTATGCAAATGACCTGTTTCTCCTTAAAGTTTCACTGACAAATTGTAGAATGTATCAACTGATCTTGACTGTAGCTATTATAACTGCTTGGCTTTAATAATGATTTTTTAATTTCCTTTATTCCGTACACATTTATTAATTAGCACAATTCTATGAGGAAGATTTGCCCCTTCTCCACTATTCAGCTGTATCAGTGTATTAGCTTCCTTTTTTCTCCCTGCCCCAGAAACAGACTCAGCTGTTTCTCTGAGTCCTGGTTCCTTTTGCTGGAGACTGGAATTTAGCAACCAATGTCTGGGAGCTGGGTGTGCTCATTGCTAATGGGGTGCCCCTGATTATAGGCTTTCTCAGCAGACAGAGCTAGGAAATAGATACATGAATAATAGTTCATGTATGCTGACAAAACTCTCCTTGACCAAACTCTTGTTGGGTTCCTCTGAGCCCTCTTCTTGACTAGAACTTGACTTTATACCCAACCTGAACTTTGGTCTAACCAGCAATGAAAACTTGCAAGGTTTCTTGATATCTAATCACCTTTTTCCTTGCCCCATCCTCATTTTGATTCCTAAGTTCTTGACCAGCCTTTAGCAAGAATCCTGTTGGGTGAGTCTAGCAGGAATCCCCTACTCTTGATATATCCTTTTAGTAATTTTCCATCCATTGACCCCCTTACTCTGTTGGCTATATGTCCCCAGCTGTATTTGCTGTGTAAAGAGCTGAGTCCAATCCATCTCCTCTATTGAACTACTCCTATTGCAATAGTCCTAATAAAGTTGTCCTTACCATCTTTAACTAGCTTTAGACTAATTTTTATTCTGTAACTGCATACACACACCTATAACTATTTTCATTACTAGTGGTACACACACTAACATATCAAAATAAATGAGTTCATATGGATACCTCTAAATTTAATCCAGCAATTCAGGGTTCATTCTTACATTTGTCCCTCTTGCTTATCAATATTTTCTTTCTCTGACAGTGAGAAACTCCAGTCTTATTAGCTACAGCTTATGTTGTTGTTGTTTAGAAACTGAGTCACTTCAAACTCTTTTGTGATCCCATGGACCATAGACCACCAGGCTCCTCTGTCCATGGAATTCGCCAGGCAAGAATACTGCAGTGGATTCCCATTTCCTTCTCCAGGGGATTTTCCTGACCCGGGGATCAAACCCGCATCTTCTGCATTGGTAGGCAAATTTTTACCACTGAGCCACCAGGGAAGCCATACCTGTTAAAGCCTAGCAGCCATATAGTTTCAGAATTGCTAGCCTATATTCAGTGAGAAACAAACTTTCCAATCAGAGTACAGTGTTAATCAGTAGTTCTTTTCTGTCTTTATCCTTATAACATCCATCCAAAGTTTCTTAGGTCCTTATTCTCCACCACCTCCACCAAGGTTGTGTCACATGATTGTATGCAGTTAGATTCACATTCATCACAGGTTGTATTTGATCCTAGGTTCCCCTGCCGCTCTTTATTAGGTGAAGGAAATTCTCTACTATTCCTAAATTGCTTAAGTTTATATCATGAATATGTGCTAAATTTTGCCAAATGCTTTTTTATGCCTCTATTGAGATGATCATATAGAGTTCATCTTCTTTAGCATCTCAGAGGATGAGATGGTTGTATGGCATCACCGACTCAATGGGCATGAGTTTAAGTAAACTCCAGGAGTTAGTGATGGATGGGGAGGCCTGGCGTGCTACAGTCCATGGGGTCACAAAGAGTCGGACACGACTGAGCTACTGAACTGAACTGAACTGATTGAGATGGTCATATAGAGTTCATCTTCTTTAGCCTCTTAATAAGTGAATTACATTCTTCAAGCTCCAAATGTGAAACCAATGCTGAACTCTTGAGATGAATCACACTTGGACATGATGTATCACCTTTTATATACTGAATCCTTTGATTTACCAGTATTTTCTTAAGGATTGTTGTCTTATATTCATGAGACTTAGGGTGATGTTAACCTTATAAAGTGAGTTTAGACAATAAATGCTGGAGAGGATGTGGCAAAGACGGAACCCTCCTACATTGTTGGTGGGAATATAAATTGGCACAGCTACTATGGAGAACACTATGGAGGTTCCTTAAAAACCTAGAAATAGAGCTACCATATGACCCTGCAATCCCACTCCTGGGCATACATCCAGAGAAAAACATGATCCGAAAGGATACATGCACTCCAATATTCATTGCAGCACTGTTTACAATAACAAAGACATGGCAGTAACCTAAATGTCCATTGACAGAGGAGTGGATAAAGAAAATGTGGTCCATATATACAATGAAATATTACTCAACCACTAGAAAGAATGAAATAATGCCATTTGCAGCAACATGGATGGACCTAGAGAGTGTCATATTGAGTGAAGTAAGTCAGAGAGAGAAGGAGAAATGCTGTATGACATCCCTTCTAAGTGGACTCTGAAAAAAAATGATACTAATGAACTTACTTACAAAAGAGAAAGAGACTCACAGACTTAGAGAACAAAATTGTGGCTGCCGGTGGGGTGGGACAGTTGGGGAGTTTGGGATGGATATGTGCACACTGCTATATTTAAAATGGATAAACAACAAGGACCTGGTGTAGAGTACGTGGAATTCTGCTCAATGGTATGTGGCAGCCTGGATAGGAGAGGAGTTTGGGGGAGAAAGGATACATGTATATGTACTGAGTCCCTTTGCTATTCACCGGAATCTATCGCAGCGTTGTTATTTGCCTATATCCCAGTACAAAATTGGACTTCCCTGGTGGCTCAGATGGTAAGGCATCTGTCTACCATGCGGGA